TTTTTTTCGTAATACTTTCTCAGTCTACTTCTCATATCTGAATCGCAAGACAGACACTGCTCTGCCTTATCAACACCACCCATTTTTTCATTACTCTATAGCTGTGTATGGTTTTAGTTTATCATTTTTTCCTGTTGTTGGTTCAACCATTCCATTACTATGCACAGTTGACATCATATATAAAGGTTTCTTATCTTTCCATTTAAAGACACAAATTTTGCCTTTCTGAAAGGTTACAGCTTTCCTTTTCTTTACTTTTCATAATACCACTGTTGAGGGCAAACCTTTCCTACATGCCTGCAGATTTGCACACAGACCCATTTTTCATTTATTAACAGTTCAGGCAAAATATAAAAATTATCTGTTGTAAGAAAACAATCCGTTACCTAATAAATCATAAATTAGTGTCATGATGCTTTTAACAGATAATTCATAATACGCATAGTCTTCATGGAATATAGTATTTTTGCGTGTAAACGTTACAGAGTTTTATATGTGGCCACTTTCAGCTTCAAATAGCTGAAACAGTTAAAACCCAAATATCACTCAGACAGAATGAACTGCTTCCATTTTAATAACTCTTTATATACTATTAGCGACTCATCAATACTAATGCTTTAACTGCTATAGGATTCTTCGTGCTATAATTGGTAAAACTGCTTTGACTGCTATAGGTTTCTTATGTTAAAACTGCTTCACTGCAATAGGTTCCTTATAAGCACTCTACTTTTATATCTGTCAGATTTTGCTATAAGATATAATTTTCTGTCTGTAAGTCGAAGAAAGACTTCCGTTGAGTGCATTGCTCATGTGATGATGATGATGTAATTTTTTTAATTTGAAATTACCATTTCATGCAGAGTATGGATTTTTTGCAATTTGGGATTTGGATGATTTTTCCCCCCTCTTTAAGGTAGAATTATCCTGAAAATGCAGAAATTTCATTATTAAAATCTTTCTCCAGTCATATTTTTTCCAAAGAAAGGAGTATCAAGATTGGGCCTTTTTGATCAAAACCATCTTTCAATCAGGTTTTTGCACAATACCTTGTAGTAATAGCACAGCAAGAAATATGCTCATTTCATTATTCATTCATATCTTCCCATGAGAGAGATCTAAAACCAGGTGTTACTCCCAGTGACTCGAAATATTTTGACGCATACCAGTTGGTTTTATTAACAATATAAGCAATAATTTCTGTTGTAAAAACAAACTGAACATAATGGATCTAATAACTGGTAAACAGACAACTTGGAGGTGCAGGCTGCATAACTGAGTTATCCATTTTGCACCAGTTTTGGACCATTGATACTAAATCTGATTTGCTGTCTGGCAAAAAACTCAAAGTCTGAATTTTCCATGAAACTTTCCACTTTGGAATCACTATCCATAATCAAATAAGAAGTTCTGTTTACACTAGGACTCCCTTGTTTACTTATAGAAGAGAGGCGGAAAGCAATTTTGACCACTCAGATTTTTCAGACTGTGACATCAGTAAATAAAGGATTTTCCCTTGCATTAGAAGTAAATGCTTCACACTCTTTTCTCACAAAATTCATGATAACAGCTTAAGTTCTGTTGCCAAATTTCTTTCCAAACTCGTCTGATTAGCAAGGATTGAATAGATAGTTATAAAAAGCTTCATTCCGAAGTATAATAATTGGGAAGAATCCTTTCTGTCTTTACCTTCTGAAAAAGAAAAATGAATTGAAAAGGAATCTGACTTTTGAAGGTTATCCGATTCCGAGGGCTCCAACTATTTTCAGTCCATACAGTAGTCTTTTCATTACAGAAATATTCACTACGTAATTTTTTCCTTTCTCTTCTGGCCATTATAGTCTTTATCAGCTACAGATATATTGTACTAACAGGGGAAAAAAATCTCATCTTACATAATTTTCAGATATCATTTTACGTTAAATCATTTTAAATTTTGATTAAAGCAATCAATAAATATGGCAGAAAAACAATTTGTTAGAAAACATTATACATTTCAATGTTTTTAAGTACAGTTGACTAGAATTTTAAACCAGACCAAAAGTTATTAATTCAATCTTTTTATAGTTTGGCTTTCTGCATTTGTATTTTTTAAACCTAATTTATAAAAGCTTTCTTTGCATTAGATATTTTTACCAATATTATACTAATTTGCTATAGGAATGGAATAAAATACTTTACAGGCAACAAATATAGCCAAAAAGGCCATTACATACATTCTTATCAAGAGAAAAGGAAATGGAGACAGTTTAATTTGAAAGAACTTCTATTATTAAATGCCTACTTTGCTTTTCTTTATTAAATAGCATACATTCTGGCATATATAAATCAATGTTCTAAGCCAAATAAATAAAAATGTCAAATTGGCTTATATGCAGATAAAATAAAATAATAATCATTTAGATTTCTAATGGTTAGAAATTTAATAATGAAATGGAATAAAGATGACTAACTTCATTTTTGTAATTGTAAATAACACATGAAGTAAAAGAAAAAAGTTTTTACTTATAAAAACTATTATTCTCTGCAAGTAGTATGTACAGAAAAAAAGTAATATAGAATGCTATATGTACTGCCAAGACATGACAAAAAAAATTATACACACTAAAATTTTTTTAAGATAGTACTGATTTACCTTTAAATCACAAACACAAAACAAGAATTGATCATTCCCTCCCCCTGCACCATATATCTTATCACAGAATTCTATTCAAGATCAAATAATTTTGGACTAAAATTCTACTTCTCTGACATTTTTATAAAATTCTTATAAAAATTTGGGGCAGTTTTCAGATAATGTGGCGATTTGTTGACATCTCGAAAGAGTGCGTGTGCGCCAGATTATGGTAACCCTGACAAGCGTTACAAACCTGCAACCCACTCAGGGAATTTTCCTGAAGGACGAAAAGGGATTTTTTCTGTTTACATAGATTTAGGAAACATTACGGCAAGACAAAATAGAAGTTGGAAAATCGCAAATCATAATTAGTTCATATTTTCTCAAATCGTTATCGGGTGTTAATCATAATTAGTTCATATTTTCGCAAATCATTATTAACACCTGATAACGCTCTTCCCGATAATGCTAAAAATAAAGCTCTATTCTGTTTACGGAACGTTCACGGTAAGACAAAATGAAAGTTGGAAAATCGCAAATCCTAATTAGTTCATGTTTTCGCAAATCGTTATCGGGAGTTCATTTCAATTGAAAAAAATAAAGCTCTATTCTATTTATTCTACGTTTTCTAGTTTATTTATTTCTACCTTTTGTAAATTAAGGTAGTTGCATGACCCCCCCCAAAAAAAATCGCAAATCATAATTAGTTCATATTTTGCGTAAATCGTTATCGGGAGTTAATGCAATTGAAAAAATAAAGCTCTATTATATTTATATATATAAAATAGCTACCTCAGATGCTAAATTTATGTAGGAAGAAGGAACCAGAAAGGTAAATACAACTTTTAATTTAAGCTCAATGCTCCTAAAATATATTAGAATATATACAGGTGACACTTGTATATTAAAGTGGCCACCATAACAAAATAAGCTGATTGAATTGCCAATTTTGTAACATGTAACACCTGTTATCGGGTGTTAATAATGATTTGCGAAAATATGAACTAATTATGATTAACACCCGATAACGATTTGCGAAAATATGAACTAATTATGATTTGCGATTTTCCAACTTCTATTTTGTCTTGCCGTAACGTTTCCTAAATCTATGTAAACAGAAAAAATCCCTTTTCGTCCTTCAGGAAAATTCCCTGAGTGGGTTGCAGGTTTGTAACGCTTGTCAGGGTTACCATAATCTGGCGCACACACACTCTTCCGAGATGTCTCAAATTGGAACTATAGGATAAAGCATAGTACTAGAAAAATGTTGGAAGGTCATAATTAAAATAAACGCAGAAACTTACTCAAGCCATTATTATTCTGAATGAATAGAACAGCAGCTAGCAAATTTATTATAATTCACAATTAAATGTTCAAATTGTCATTATTGAGAATAAATGTTCATTATTGTCAAAGAGAAAGTGGACAGTTTTTAAGCCGGACGTTTTAAACGATAGAAATATTAACTGAAATGCAAAAGAACAACAAAATTACATAAATTTAACCTCATTAATATTTTTATTCATTTAAGTTTCATCATTAAACATACTATTGCTTCTGTATCATGCCAAATAAACTGGCTACATGGATGTTTTTCATAATTTTCTCTATGTATGATATGAATTTATGCTTTCAAAAAGCCTAACCTAGTATTATCAGTCACTTCCTAATTGAATGCATTCAAAAAGCTAATAATTCCTTTATAATTAATTTATGCATTCAAAAAGCTAACCTAGTATTATAAGTCACTTTAAAGTCCCAGTACTCGGTTAATTTAGCATTTGTAGCATCAGTGTTTTTATACTATACTACAAAGTGTTATTAATATTTTAATCTAGTGCTGCATTTTTAATAACTTTAACATTTATTTTGTTCAATAAATAAATGAACTAAAAATATAAATTAATTTATTACAATTCTATTTTGTAATTATTATGCAAATTGTTTCATGTTTATAATCTGAAACGTGCCAAAATTTGGTGTGTCTGTTGCATTAAAAAAAAATTGTATTTATTTTATGTTTGTGAAATATTAAAAAGCATATTGAACTACTGAATAATTTCTTGTCTTTTTTCAATGACTGAAACCTTGAATAATAAATACTGGGCCAACTTAAATGCTGGAAATTTTAGTTAAAATATTGGGGTCCACTTAATATCTTGCATTGATTTATATACCAAAAAATGCAACATTTCTTTTAAATCAATCATATGGCTATTTTGTTCAACATTAATTTAAATTTCTAAGTTTTCTAAAATACTAAAATCAAATTTTGGATAATGAGCATAACATCTCAACTGGGCCAAAACATTAGTTCCAGTTTGTTGAATATATCAGATTCATCCAGTTTCTTTGAAAAACGTGACAAAAATAGTAATGAACGTACTTGCAAATGAAAGAAAAGATATCGGTCACAATCTAGCAATTCAGGATGAAGATTATTAACCAAGTGAATAGCTTCTTGAATCTTTCCATTTTGAATAGCATCTCGAATTTTAATTCTCTCATCTAAGGTGTCCAAGTCCACAGTTGGTTGAATCCCTGATTCAATGCGAAATTTTTCAGCAGCACCTTTAAAACCTTCTGCAAAGCCAATTTTAAAATATAAAATAACTGGGTATAATGTAGTAGAGTTTAGAATCAGTGAAAAAAAGGATTACAATGAAACTTCAGTGCAGTAATGATGAGAACTGAAATTAGATTCATGCATAAAAGACATTTAAAAACAGAACTAATTTTTCTTTAAATGAATGACATGATTTTTATTTGAAAGGAAAAATGAAAGGTTCTTTAATAAGTTGCAAATATAAAAACTTATTTCAGAAAAATATAATGAATAACAATACATTTCTGCATACAGACAATTTAAAAAACTAAAATGTCCAAAGTAATTTCAAAACATTACGATTCAGTTCTTATAAAATTCATATGTACAGTTCGTAAAATATTTTGAACGATGAACAAAACATAAAAGATAACTTACCTCATTTTTAATTTTAAAAAAATGCATAAAATGGCAATTTTATTATATTTAACAAAAGTTTTAATGCACTTATATTATATTTTTGTTCACTTAGTCATACTTTGTATGCACTTATTTTTTAAAAATTCATAAAATGAAAGAATGCAGTGTGCATTACAATTTATGTCATAAATCTGAAATTGTAGTACTGCAGCATTGTATGAAATATAGGTATACAAATGAAAATATTTTTAAGAAAAGCTATTCATCTACACTTTTTAAACTGGTTTATGTGTTTTTTGTTACTGGTTTATGGACTTTAATGATAAGTTAGTTCAAGTTAAATTTGGTTAAAAAATGCTATACTGACAAAATTGCCACACCTCAATAGAGAATCAGCAGTTTCAGTTTGATAACAATTTCATACTCAGAAAATGAAAATATGATGATTCCCAGAGACAATGATAAAAACTCTCAGGCGATGTTTCAAGGAAAGTGGGAGTCTAACTGATCCAGCAGTTGCTAGTTCAATATCATACATAACATGTGGAAGCACAGGTTAAGAGTATACAGTCAAAAGTCGTTAATCCGGACTCGTCGGGACTTCGGCGATTCCGGATTATCGATTTTTCCGGATTATAGATCATCAGTTTAAATCTCGTAAGATGGCATGCAGAAATTCTAAAATTAAAAATATGAAACCGTAATTTATGAAATAAAGAACAATTATGATCTAAAGGGTATCAAAATTTGCAAAAAGAAAAAGCTTAATATTTATTTGTTTACTTTATTAAACATTTCTTTCAATGTAAGTTGTTTAAGTTTTGCTTCGTTTCATGTGATAATACTTTCTCTTTAATTCTATTAAACAGACATAATTTCTTGTTCAGTTACAAAGTTCCGCTGTTCAAGTCCTATAATTGCTATGTCGAGAACACCGACTAATTTGCCAATCGAAATTTTTTTGTTTTCAATAACCTCTGTCACTTTGTGTTCACTATCACTACATTTGGTAAGGAATTATAAGCCAAATAAAATAAAAACATCTGTGCTGAAGATAAGGATAGTGCTGACAGATCAACTTCCAATTCATTACGCGCCCGCTGCGTCGATCCCCCCGCCGAGCAGCGTGAAATTGATAAACAAATTTCGGATTTCAAAACATACTTTCGCTTTCGATCCTTTACATATTAACAAATATACATCGTAAATTCTATTTGATATAATCGAAAGTTTAAGCTTACTTTTATAAAATTGCTCTTAGAGTCTGCAAAAAATAATAAGCCGGATCCAATTCGAAAATTAAGGAACAACGCAATCATCAACATTAACTGAAATAGATAATTAGATAATTTTAGCTTATACGTCCATTACACATAACGCGCACGCGAAAACGTATTCTGCACTTGCGCACACTCATATGCGCAGTCGTAAAAGGTCTTATGCGCATGCGTAAACGCCTATGCACATGTGTCAACGCGGCGCATGCGCAGAAAGTTTTTAGTTTTGAGGTCCGGACTATAGATCATTCCGAATTATGGGTGTCCGAATTAACGACTTTTGACTGTAGTAGCACAATCAGTGAGCAGAATTAACAATTACAAGAATCATGAGACTATCACTAGCATAGTCTGCAAACTATACTTGCTGCATCAAATCCAAACAAGTAATACCCAAAAAGTAGGAAGACTTGGACCCATGGGCAATAAAAAAAGTTTCTAATAATCTACTATGTATTCCAAATACCTTTCAAGGTAAAAGTATATTTAAGGGTACCCCTTGGCGAAACTTGACGATTTTTGGTGATACATGTGTAGCTGATTTTTGGTGATACATGTGTAGTTGATTTTTGGTGATACATGTTGGCTTTCTGTAGTGGCGTAAATTTTTTGCACTAGCAAAAATAACAAGTCAAAGAATTGCACAAACTCTGTATCCACGTACACACTGACCTATTTTCACTTAAAAAAAAGTCAGAGAATTGCACAAACTAGGCTTTGCACACTCTCTTGAGTTTGTCCATGTACACATCGATATAAAATCACTTAAAAAGTTAAAGGAGCACCCAATTCTACAGTAAAGGCAAACAAAAAACACATACTCTCAATAAACTACATTTTAAACTAAACAATAAAATAACATAAAAAAGGAAAAACCTATTATGCATTTAAAAGCACTACACAAAGCAAATATCCACTTACCTTATTTAGAAATTCCTTCGTCTTCAGTTTGTGGCACACAAAATTCCTTAGCAGCATCAAAAAACTTCCTAAAATTATCTGAACTAAAATCCGTATGTCGGCATTGCCACATAAATTCACAAAAATAAGAGTCAAAAATATCCTACATAGTTCTGGACTGTACGGAAAATGGCTACTAAGAAAACCTTCATTTACACACCAGTCAATTAATGCACTTTTTTCCTTTCATTCCAAATCTTACACAAACTTCAAATTAATTTTACTACATTCAGCCATTCTACCATCTAAACAATGAAACAAGCAATGTACTTCCTAACCAACACATACCACAAAAGCCCTTACAAAATATCCCACGATTCAAAATTTCCCATAAAAATGCAAATGATTACATCATAATAGGGTTTCCATAACATTCAACTACTCAGGTTATCATAAATTAAACAATAACTTCGCGATAATACAAGGGGTACTCTAAAGTCAACTCTAACCACTTTCAAATACAATATAAAATACATTTTCCATTGCATTTAAGTGTCAAAACCATTGCATCAATCTATCAAATACACACAAAAGTCAATTCCTACATATACACTTACAATGAGTCACTATGTGGTGAATTTTATAGCATCCCAAAATACTGACCCATATTTTTTGTCACTGTGAACATCGTGAAAGAAAACTGAACCTTTTGCACATTATCACTAATTGGAACATAATCACTAACCTTACAAAACACTTTGCACAGACAAATTAACTATTCTAATTAGCAACTGCTTTGCACATTTTTAACTTCTTACAACCTATAACATTTAACCTTAATCTTCTTACAACCTGACAACCTTTTAAGTTCTGCCCAAAGAAAAATAAATAACAAAGTTGTTAGAAAGTTTGTTTCAAGTCTCCAAATGCTTTTAATATTATTATACAGTTCCATAACCAATTTAACATACTCTATTAAAGAGTCACCAGTGATTAGGAAATGAAAATTCAGTAAAAAAATAAAATATTCTTCTGATTCAGAAACCATTTTCAAACCGTGGATCACCACAACAAAAAGTGGCGTCCGTCTGACAGGACGCATTAGTTAGGTAAAGGACATTTTTGATGGTTTAACAGCAGAAATGGAAGCCTTGAAAGTAAGAAGAATACCACTGCGTGCAGCCTTCACGAAAGCATATAATAGCCTACATGGACATTTGAAGGAGTCAGAATTGAACAGTGATGTTCTATTATCGTCCCTGGAAATTCTGGAAGATAAAGGAATTCGACTACAACAGTTGGATGAAGAAATATTGGATCTCCTATCAAAATCGAAAGAAGTCTCGCAAGAAGAATATACTAAAGAATTTGAGTCATGTGAGACTTACAAGGAGAAATTAATAGCAGCCAGGATGAAAGTGAAGCAAATCACTGTGAAACTAGAGAAAAATTTGCTGACTCATGCATCGGTAAATGAAACCAGAACTGTTGATTCAAGAACAACGGCAACGAATTTGAAGCTTCCGAAAATAAATTTGATTGAATTTACAGGTGATCCACGACAATGGTTGAATTTCTGGAATACCTTTAGTAAGATACACGAAGATCCAGTGCTAGATGATCATTTGAAATTCGTATATCTGATCCAGGCTACTGCTGCCAAATCGAAAGCACGGGAAATAGTGCAGAGTTTCCCGACAACTAAAGAAAATTATCCGAAAGTCATCGAACATTTAAAGAATCGTTTTGGACGTGAAGATATTCTTATACAAGTGTACGTTCGGGATTTATTGAATCTTGTGTTGATAAATAATAATGCAACCAAAAAGGACTTTGCGCTATCATCGTTGTACGACAGTTTAGAAACAAAACTGCGTGCTCTGGAATCTCTCGGTGTGACTGAAGATAAATACGCTAGTGTTATTTTTCCGTTAGTTGAATCTTGCCTGCCCCCTGACATCTTACGCGTGTGGGAGAGGGAACGGGAGAGCTCGTCACAACAAGGTAAGAGCGATCTTGAATCTATTCTTCTGTTTTTGAAAAATGAAGTGATATCTGAAGAGAGAATTAAATTAGCGCGTTTTTCTTTTGATAAAAGTAGAAAATCTAAAAGTTACATTAATGATGAGTCTAATATTCCTACTTGTAATGATTTGTATACAGGAGACAAATTTAAAGAAAATGCTCCTATTAAGAAAGTTGAGGAATCGTGTTTATTTTGTGATAAGCCACATTTAACAGAAAAATGTTTTAAAGCTAGTACGCTTACATATCAGGATAAAAAAGATTTAATATTTAAGAAGGGTTTATGTCTATTATGCTTGAAGAAAAACCATATTTCTCGTAACTGTAAGTCCAAGGTTAAGTGTTTAATTTGCCAGAAAAGGCATTTGGCAGTAATGTGTCAACAAGTTCCTTCTCAATTGAAAGAGACTAAACAA